TATAAATTTTATTATATAAATTTTATTATATAAATTTTATTATTTAAATTTTATTATATAAATTTTATTATTTAAATTTTATTACATTAATTAATTAATATAAAAAATAATTACTAAACAATTTTAAAAAAAATAAAAACGTCACCTGTAGCGACGTGGGAATCATGTCACAAATTAGTGACATGATTCTCACGTCGCTAATAAAGCTGCTATTATATTCCCTGCAACAAATATGTTGCGACGTGAATACTACGTCACAACTTTGTGACGTGGGAATCACGTCGCTACTGGCTTGCCACTGGCTCCCCAACGACATAAGTCACCACGTCGCTAATTTTGTTTTGCCACGTGATTTTGATGTTTGCCACGTGATTTTCACGTGGCAAATAAGCTTCTTTTTTGTAGTGCTACCAGATGAGTTAATAGTATTCTTTCAAAAATTTAAACAAAGTAATTTTTTATAAATAATTAAATAATACACATATTTTTGTAAAAATAATTTTTTTAATTTATTAAACAATGCCTTTAAAGTATCGACATCAAAATATTATATATATATATATATATATATATATATATATATATATATATATATATATATATATATATATATATATATATATATATATATATATATATATATATATATATATATATATATATATATATATATATATATATATATATATATATATATATATATATATATATATATATATATATATATATATATATATATATATATATATATAGGTTAAATAGGTTAAATATAAAAGTGTCATATTTCAATTTCGCTCTTCACTTCATTCATATATGTTATTTTTTTATTATATTTTAAAAACAAAAACGTACGTACGACACTATTACCCGTGTGAATGCACGAGTAATATATCAATGTCGTGTGAATACACGGGTAATCAGACTAAAATTTATGTGAATGCATAGGTATTACACTAGTACCGTGTAAACTCACGGATAACCAGACCAAAATTCGTGTGAACGCACGAGTAACACACCATTATCGTGCGAACACACGGGTAACTAGATCAAAATTCGTGTGAACGCACGTATTATTTTTTTTTGTACAATTAAATAAAATAAAAATAAAAATATTTAAAATAATATATGAATTCAAACACGATAAAATGTGTTGTTTTTTTATTATTATTTATGTATCTAATATTTTTATTTTGAAATTATTTTTATTTTAAAATACAATAATTTTAAAGATAATACATGAATAATTGAAATATATATTATTGATGTTTTTCTTTAGAAATTAGAAAATTGATACAATTTTATTTTTATTTTTAAAATATGTCTTTCATTTAAATATTTATCATTAATTAACTTATATATTTATCTTTGACTATTTCTTTTCTTCCTATTTTACAATTAAAATATTTTTTATTTTATTTGAATTTCAAAACCTAACTAGTGACATATCCGCAGTTTATACCAGAATCTGTATGGACACACGACTTTCCCACTTACATTGAAAAGTGAAAATAACAGTCATTTTGAAATAAAAATTATTTGTTAAAACAACAATCATTTTGAAACGAAAGGAATATAACAAACAAAAGGTTTTAGATTTTCAAAAATTCTACTATAAAATATGGATTACACATCAATCAATTATAAGTACACCTATTCTAACTCAAAAACTTTGCACTTATGATTATCAATGACTTGGATAGGGCTATTTTCGGTCCAGTCAGGTCCATTTATAAGGGATCCCGAGAGTTGGACTCAAACTCTTACCGGGTAAACCAGAACCGGACCAAAACAATGATGGTTAAATTTTAAGATCAAAATTGAACCGATACTTTCGAGTAAACTAAAACCGGACCGAAAAATTGATTATTGGACATGGGGATCCGAGACCGGACTGATAATTTTTTATTCGGATACCCGACCCACCCGAATTAAAGGAAAAAATTGAAATATTTTTAATTTCAGATGTAAAATTACATTTTAAGTAATCCATTCAAAATATGCATTTGACATTACATTATAAATATCATTCACATAAGTTATGAAACTTATGCTTTCAAAAGTAAAATTTGTTCAAAAATATAAAACTTGTTTAAACATAAGTTATGAAACTTATATTTCAAAAACAACAAAATAACATTACATTTGTTAATGATGCCTCAAAACAATCTCATCATCGACATTTCAAAAAATAACAAAATGACATTACAAAGTTGATGTTGTCGAAGAAGAGACACCAGGATCCTCACCAAAATGAAATGCTAAAGGTTCATCTTGTGGTTCTTCAAGCTATATCAGTAAAAGCATACGTTAAACAAGACAACATAAATGGAAAAGCTTAAGCCATATAAATATTCAACTAAAATAGATCATAAGCAAAAGATACTTACAATACTAACAGTGCGGCCCTTTTTAATTCCATATTTCTCCTTCACCCAATCACCCCCACAAAGTACAATTTCAACTGTCTTAGTTTTCATAGAAGATCGTTTCGGATAAATAATCCTTTTACCAGCACTAAAAGTTGTTTCTGAAGCAATAGTTGTAACTTGAACAATTAGGATATCCATGGGCAACTTACTAAGAACATGATACTTGGCTTCATTTCCCATCCACCATGTTAAAACATCAAACTTAGCTTTAGGGAAAACTTTCAAGGGAGAATCCTCAAGATATAATTCAAGATCAGATTTTGAATTAGTATTACCAACAACAGTTTTTAAAAACATCTCAAAACTCCTCTTTCCCAACCCAAAATTAGATCCTACTTCTGGAGTTTCAGACACAGGGGCATTCTCATCATTAGTTCTATAAGTATCTTGGTACAATTGGAAGAGAGATTTTAAGTTGGTTGTCAACTCTTGTGCATAGACAGTGGCTTGAGTAGCATTTGGATACAAGAAGGAAATTCATTAAAGATAACACATTCTGTAACAAAAAAAGGAAATTCATGACCTATAATCATATGAGCTGCAACTTCTGTAACCCTAGCATGATTATATGTCAAAGTTGTCAAACTAGGAGTACTATCAACACCTACATTTAACCTAGACTATGCAACCTCTTTGTCGGTATTACCTCTCAACCTCGGCTTTCTTCGAATGCAATTTTCTAAATGTTTCTTGCCATTAGAAGTACTTTTCCATCTCACATAATAAGTGTAAAGCTTACCACACCATTTGCATTTCCATTTCTTAGTACCATCAGGCATTTCAATAAGTAGCATCTCAGTATGAACAACATATTTATTGGGATGAGGAGCTTTACCAAAGGAATTTATCTGACTTTGTGAACTATGAGTTGGGTCAACTGGAGGGGTTTCCCCATCAACAATAGTTATATTTTGAGTAGTAATAGTATTTTGAGTAATATGTTTATTTTGAGTAGTGTTGTCAGTTGGAAGTGAAACAAGAAGTTCCAAATCAATCATCTCACCAATATCTATATTTCTTCCATCCATTGTCTCCTCTCCCCCATCAAGCAACATGTTTATATCAATAAGATCATCCATGGTTGGAGTCAATGAATAATCTTGAAAAGACATGACATAAAAAAATGAATATCAATCAAACAATAATGTAATACGAAATATGAACAAAATATATTATCAATCAAACAACCTCAGCAAAACAATTTATTATTAGGCTAAAATACAACCTCATGACTCATCAACAAAATTTATAAAATACAACCTCAAATCAAAACCCTAGGCCAAACCCTAATGAAGTTCAAAACTCAGCAACAAAATCAAATATTTTTTTATCAAAATATTAGGTCAAAATTGATACCAGGTAAAGAACTACTCGATAACTCAAACATGCAAACAAAGTAAAAAAATATAATAACAGAAAGAAAAGAGAATAGAGTTTGGATACATTACACGAACGAGACTGAAGCCTTAAACAATTCTCATTGTGTCTCTTAACACAAATGATTCTAACAAATAATGAAAGTCAACATGCTGTGTTGATCGAAGATGAAGCCCTAGGAGAGAGAGGCAAAATGGAGAAAAATATAATGTGAGAGACGAGACAGAGAGTGACTGAAAAAGGAGAAAAAGAAAAATGAGAACATGTAAATTTTTTAGAATTTATATCAATGCCTACCGATTACTTATTGGATATTTTGGTCAGGTTCTTCATGTTGAATACATATATACAAATTTTATCCATTACCAGACCAAAAGACATTTTGGCCGGTCCAATTGTCTGGCTCCATCAGACCGATTATGAAGTGATTTTTGGTTATTCGGCTCCAAAAACAGCCCTAGACTTAAATATAAAGTGTTTGCAAATATCATCTCTTACTTTTTCTAATTACCAGTTTAAAACTCAAATTTTCATCAAAATTCATCATCAATTCCCATTTTACTCCTCTCGTATGAACTAGTCCCAAATCAATAAATTTATTTCATAATTATATTTAAAAAACTACAATGCATAAAATAAACCAGATGATCTTTTTTCTCCCTTTCACATGCTTTAATTAAAAATTAACTTGAATTTTAATTTCTTCTTCAACTTCCCTTTTTTCTAACTCTCTCTATTTTTCTCAAACCAAACAAAGACCCAAGAATTTTCTTTAAAAATTTAGAAAATGAAAATTTTGACATTTCACTACTTAAAATTAATTTGATTCATTCTCAAAATTTCACTAATTTGATTCATTTTCAAAATTTCCGAGAACTAATCAAATCCGAATTGTTTTCATTTTGATTTTCGTTTTGAAAACCGATAAACTTGCAAAAAAGATTATGACGTAATAACAGTCATATCCTACATTTCCAAATTTACCCTCACCAAAAAGTTAAAATTCCAACCCAATCCTCTCTTTGAATCCCCTTCACCTTCTTCCTCTGAACCCAATCCTAAATCCACCATTGATGAATTCACTCACAACAAAATCTTCACAACAACACCATTCATGTTTCTTATTCTTTCTCTAATCACATCAAGAAGACAGTGAAACGCTGCGTTTCGAGAATTTCAATTCAGCACAAAAAAATGAGGTCTTCTTCTTCTTCTACTACTACTACTACTGCTAATCCGGGTACGATCAACATCGCCGCGAGTTCTCAGAAGCTTGATGTTGATAATCGAATTGCTCTTCGGTTCTATTATCGGATTGCGGATAACATACTTCGACAGGTTCGTTGCTTTTATTTGGGGCTTTTTGATTTTCAGTGATTTGTTTCGAAGTTTAGATACTTGGGGTTGTAATTGGGTTTTACGATTGTTGATAGATAAATAAAGATGCTTTTTTTATAGGTGAATATAAGGGGACTCTAGGTTTTATTAGAGATAGGATTTAATTTAGGTTTTCAATTTATTGGTTCAGACATTGAAGTTCATTAAGTTTCATATCAGTTGGAGTGTGGAGAATAATTATTGTCAAAATTCAATACTTGTAGTGTTTAGTATTTACTACTACTGGAGTTTAATTCCTTACTATTAGATAGTATTTTGTTCCCCGAAACACGAGACTCACACGTCCACACCTAATAATTTGAAAAAAATTAATAAATTTAATGTAATTACATGTGTTAGTTTCGGTTTTGGATACGGACACCGACACATTTTTTTCTAAGGTGTCAGTGCTGCATAGATGAAGCATATATTCACTTATAAGTGAAAAGTTGCTAGAGCTTAACACAGTGGAACAAACAGACCTGAAAGTATAGCCAGTGGAGCAAGTTTGTCTGCCCTTTGGGTTAAACGTAGCCACAATTAGCTGAACTCTGTGATCAATCGTTTATGTTCTTGTGTTACTTAATTTATTGGGTAAACTACACTTACCTCTCCTGAGCTCTTCGTAAAAAGGGCAAACTTTCTCTCTAATTTTTCACATGCACTAACCTCCCCTTACTAGTAATAAGATCATTTCACGTATGCTAGATTAAATGTATGAAAGTTCCATGAAATTATACCACGTTGTCTAGTAAAAATGTTTTTGCTAAGTTCCACAGGCAGAGTGTGCGTCAAACCCTCAAACATTTGAATAAATTGTACTAAAATAACAATTGAAAATCAACCCCAACTTGTCAAATCATAAACATAATAGAACATCGAACTTAATAGTGACAGTGAGAACTCCCAACTTTCACTTCACTACTTTGAGGTTTTAAATTATGCGTGTAGAGGTAGACACGGTTATGTTGTATTGTAGAGAATTACGTACAACTGTGATCGTTGTTTGTTGTTGCAGACCATAATTTCAAACTCTACGGATGATTAATTTACTTTTTATTACAAGATTTATCTGCTGCTGCTTCTGTTAGTTGCTTTTGCTGATATTATATTTTTCTACTGCCGGGTTTTATTAATCTATTGTCCTGCTTTAACTTCTTTTTATATCTGGAGACATTTATGTGGTCTTGTTTTCTTCCTTGGAAGACGAGTTTAATATTTAGTTGATGTGTCGACCCTTGGCTATGACTATTGTTTTAAATATTGCAGGCCGACATCTTTCGCGCAGAGAAGAACATTATTGACCTATATGTCATGCTTTTAAGATTTTCTAGGTAATGCAAGGTTGCTTGTTAATCACTATTTGACTTGAGGTCTATTTGGATTAATTTGTTTGAGCTTATCTACTAGCATAACTTCATAAGCACTTACGAAACTATTTGAAAGCGCTTATGAAAACAACTTATAACATGTCCGCAAACTGTTTTCAGCTTATTTTCTTTAAGCTCTCCGGGATAGCTTAGGAAACAGCATATAGCTTATATAGAAACAATTTATTTTTATCTTTTGTCATAGAAATAGTTTATGCATAAGCACTTATATAATAAGGGCTTATGCTACAAGCATTTGATTTAGCTACTTATCCAAAAAAGACCGTATAACATATCTGGATTTGGTTGGATGATTTAGAAGAGATGGACTTTGTTGCATTTGTTTTTATGTAATCACACTGCATTGAGGGTTCTGTCTTTTTTTATTTTTTTAGTTTGGCATCTGAGACAATACCGCGTCACCGAGAGTATAAATCATCTCCACAAACCAAGAAACAATCATTGAAAAAGGTTGACTTTCAACTCTCATCTTTAAGTGACAATGTTTTCTTATAAAATCCTGAATTCACCTGATTTTTCAAGCCCTTGCTGTAGAGATTGCTGATTTCCTTGAATGAATTGGAGAAGCTGAAACCATTGGCCCAACAGAAGATCAACGAGCTTAACAGCAGAAATGCTTTCCGACAAAATGGACGGGGAAATTTTCATTCAAATAATAACGTGGATTTTTCTTCTGTGGAAAAGCAAACATTGGCTGGTAATGGCCTAATAAAGGTAAAAGCAAAGCAAAATTTGCTTTTGAAGGTTGTAAACTTGTAGTTCACTAGTGACAATCTTCCTATAAAATAACATTCAATTCTGTTGGTTGAATGCATGCATTTTTCTGCATCGCTGCTCCCTTTCAAAAGAAGTTTCACATTTATATGGTATTATATATTTGACCAGCCGGTCAGAGCAACTGCTAGGGAATTTGCTTACCAAGGATCAAGTGGTCAACATTTCTCGTATGTCAGACCCGTGGAAGAGAAAGTGCGAAGACTGTAAGTGTTGGACTCATAATTCTTGTATAATTGGCCCCTTATGGTAATTCTTATCATATATACTATTGCAGTTGTTTTTCTTCACAGGAATTATGTTAACATGAAGTATCTTTCATCTGTTTGGTTACTTTCTAATATCGTTTGAGAAAACTTCTGCGTTTCAAAGTGGATAATGCTAGAGGGTCTTGCTTGTGCAATGTCCGTAGTGTGATTATCTAACCATCTATAATTTACTTGCTTATTGCACATTACTGCATTACTTCTAAAAACAAACTTTAAGTTTAATCTACTCAAGTGAGAAAAAGATTGTAAGAAAGTCAAAGTCTGGCAGAAAGCATATACTCTTGCATTTTTCTTTTTCTTTTTTAATAGGCTGATCCCCTGGCTTAAACTGATACGCTTCTATTGCACTCTCTTTTCTAGAAAATAGTCCCAATGACTTTGAATTTACTATCACTGCGTAGTGATTAAAAACATTAGTCTGCATGGGGTCTTTTGGGGCATTTCACAAACTGCTTTGCATTTTTCGGATGAATATTGCTTGACTAATGGGTTACTTCCATTTTTACCTGCCTTTTGTAGATCTCTAACTCTGCCACCTCCAAAGGAGGAAACTCTCTCTAGACATTCTATCCTTGGTCCGCATGGGCTTAATGGGCAGTGGTGGTCACCTACTATTGACACAGGGGTATGCTAGTGTATTGGTAGAAATTGTATTCTATTCAAAGATCATTCTGACTTTTCTCTATGGATGTAGGTCAGGTATCCATCCGACATAGATCTGTCTCCAGTTGAACTGCCAAGGTTGTTCCCTTAACCTGTTTTAAGTTTCCTATTCTTTTTAAAATTTTATTGTTTCACGCATCTGTGGTCTGGTTTATCTCTTGATTTTATATACTAAATGCGGCCATCATACGGGATTTTCTCTGAATACAGCTTGCAACGCCAATTGGAAGATGTGTCTCTGAGTAATAAAGATAATAATAGCATTGCAGAACTCCAAAAATTAGATTTAAATTCAATTCCTACCGAGAGCGAAGACAGCCAGCCCCAGCGCGCTCAAGAATCACCTTCTCTTATATCTTTTGAAGCAACAGAAGAATCCTCTGCTCAAATAGAAATTATTAGACAACCTTCTCCTCCACCCGTACTTGCTGAAGTGCATGATTTGGTCCCTGCAATGTCACCTCACATTAATGAGGCAGGATGTAAGGCAGAGATTCCATCATCTGATAGCAGTGTTAATTCCGAGTCTCCTCTGCAATTGCACATTGTGAGTCAATAACATCCTAACAAAGTTCGTGTTTAGTGTTTATTTTCCTCGAATATACTTACAATTTATAATGGAGAGAAGACCTGTGAATTTTGTAGTAAGGAGAGTAGATCAGATGGAGGGTAGTCAAACAACTAGAGGTAGGAGAAGACCTAAAAAAACTATTAGGAAAGATCTTGAGATTAACGAGTTGGATAGAAACAGTTTTTTATAGAACATTATGACTTAGTTTGATCCATGTAGCCGATCCCACTTAGTGGGATAAGGCTTGGTTGTTGTTGTATACTTACATTTTGTAGAAAAAATTGAATGGTAATAAAGTTCGACATTATTCCAATTTCCATCTTTTTCTAATAATTGTTTATACTATCTATATGCAGTCAACTGCTTTGATGGAGAACTTTATGAATCTCGCCCAGTCAAATACTAAGAAAAATTTGGAAACTTGTGGTGTCCTTGCTGGTTTGCTTGTAAGTGTAATTTACAATTTTTTTGTCTTTAAGTAAAACAATATGTGAAGGTTGAAAATTGATATTTTGTACAACATACCTACTTGATTCGCAGAAAAACAGAAAATTTTATATTACCGCTCTAATAATCCCAAAGCAGGAGTCAACATCAGATTCTGTAAGAACTCCTTCATTATAAATCTTTTGGTGAAAGCATATTATTTATTCTGTATACATAAAATTATTAATCTTTCTCCTTCGTGAACAGTGTCAGACTACAAATGAAGAGGAAATATTTGAAGTGCAGGATAAACGATCACTTTTCCCCCTTGGGTGGATCCATGTGAGTTTTCAAATTTTACAAACTTACTCGTTATGAAGTTTATTTCTCTCTATTTCCTAACTTTCAAAAATATATACGAAAAATGATGTAATGTAGATTAAATTTTCTCATTTTGCGACTTTAATTTGCTAAACGTAAATAGTGTGTGTCCTAATTGCCTATTTTCCACTTTATTTGTCTAACATTGTTGTGAATAGTAACACTGAAATATATTGTTCTTAATTGCCAGACACATCCTACTCAATCTTGTTTCATGTCCTCAATTGATGTGCACACTCATTACTCGTATCAGGTTAGTTCAATAACGTTCTTGCCAAATTCTATAATAAAGTCATATTTATTTCTGATGTAAATGCTTATCGTTTTAGATTATGCTGCCAGAATCTGTTGCAATAGTCATGGCACCGACAGATAGTTCAAGGTAAGACATCACACGATAGATGTATTTTGTTGCATGAATAATAGTAGTAACAAATAAAACATCTCTATAGACCATAGCAGAACATGTTGGTGGGACATCAACTTTAAAATTACATCACAGTTTTGCTTTATAGAAACATGATCCCTTAAGTGAAGGAGTAAAGATCCACATGGAGACTAAGAAGTTACTGAATTTTGGATATTCTTTCATAGTAATCTCAATATACTTCTTGTGTCTTGAGATTAAGTTTATGGTGTTTCATTATTTGCTGTTTTTTCCGAAGTTTTCCCTAATTTGAAATTACATTTGTGAATTAACACTTGCAGAAAACATGGTATTTTTCGGCTGACAACCCCCGGTGGAATGTCTGTTATTAAACAATGTGATCAACGCGGCTTTCATCCACATAATCAACCTCCAGATGGTGGCCCTATTTATGATACTTGTACAGATGTTTACATGAACCCAGATTTAAAATTCGAAGTCATCGATCTCCGGTGATAATAAGAGTTTCTTTACATGCACCATTTCATTGTGTATATATAGTTTTACATTTTGCCATTAATTTTCTGCAATTCTTTTTACTGTATAATCTAGCTACAAGTCTCAGATATACATTGCATGTATAAATAAATAAAATAAAATAAAAATATTACCATTAAGTGTACAATAGAGTTGTTACATTATTGTTCAGTGTCTATCCAAATATAGACAGTTTCTTATATGATAGAAAATCTAAAATCAAAGGTGCAATGTCATCACACTGATGTTGTCAATGTCTAATAAGCCATGCTTTCGAGATCATTGAGAAAGGTTTGAAAATGAAAACATACCTACATTTCTTTCAAGTGCCAACAAATCCAATTTTAATTTCTAAATAGTCATAATATTATAATAATATTATAATGGTCGGATTTTAAAATTCGGATGCATTACCGTGATTTAGATGAATTTGAGTTCTTTTGTAATGTGTAGTGTGTTTAGATTTTAAAATAGTCCGAACATGGTTATTTATAAGTTTTTGGTAAACTTGAGCTCTCTTGTAATATATATTGTATCCAAAATTTTCAAATTCAGACAGAGCTATTTGTGCATTTGTTGTGTTTCAAGTGAATTTGAACTCTTTTGTAATATATAAGAGATATTTGAGCTTTTGGTGTGTTTCAAATAAATTTGAACTCTTTTATAATATGGTGCGTGACATGGAAATTTTTGGAAATTCCATAGAATTTGAGAATAATATTAAATGTGTAATTTTAGAAAATCGAGTTTATTTTTTATTTAAAATTTGGTATTTGGTTTTAGAATTGAATAATCTATGGAATTTGAGTTTTTTTTTTTTTGTAATATGTGGTGCTTTTAGATTTCAAAAGTCAGACGGTGTGACGCGAACATTTTGGAAATTCCATAGAATTTGAGAGTAATATTAAATGTGCAAATTTATAATAACAATTTCAAACTTTTTTTATTTATTTAAATTTTGTATTCGATTCTAAAATCAATTAATCTAGAAGTCCAATACTACTCTTCACCAGCTGGGTCTAGTTGAACCAAATTCGATTTTTTCAGATAACAAAAATAAGTACTCACATAAACATGACATCTTAAGAGACACCACCATCTAGATGATAGAATTATTCATTTGATTTTTGTAATGTGGCATATTTTTTTATTTGTTTGAGGGTCCACTAAAGCAACCATAGCCAAGTCTCCATACCGTGTATCAATTATGTAACAACAAAGATAGGTAACAAGTCTCATTCAAAAGTGTATGGAACATTCTAATTTAGGTTATATGGTTTTGGTTAAACTTTTTATTGCAACAAAACCACTTTTTTTATGGTAATTCCAATTGTGAATTGAGAAAGGTAGTATTGTGGGGATCCTTCAAAAAATTGATTGGGTAGGGTCTTATGTTGTGGCAAGTATTGAGCATCTTAAATATTGAGTTAATGACTTTTTTGTCATCAAGGTTTTGAGCTTATTCATTTTTCCATGTTGGGAAAATGCTCACATGGCAAGTTGACAAAATTGGTTTATCTTTGTTGGTTAAAAGAAGAAATAGTAGTTTTCTATTGAGAGCTTTGGGTCCATCTTCTAAGGTGACCCCTACATCCCATGCTATGTAAAGTTATGACAATTAGGGCCCAAATCCATTTTGTCTAGGGTTCTCTTCTCATCAATATTAAATTACCTTATACTTAATATATCATAATGACCATCTTTCAATTGCAAAAAAAAAATTGATCGATGCCGTTGAAATTGAAATCGCGATACCCTTGATAAGGGTGTGTAAGTCGAGTTACATTTAAAATTTATCACGATTAAGTTGATATTAAGTAAAATGTTTTAAAATATTTATCACAATTAAATTATAATTAAACAAATTTTTTATTTGTTTTGTTATAATTGAACCGTGACTAATCTATAAATAACCTTCTATCAGTTAAGACAATTATGATCTTAATCTAAATTGTAAGTGTTAGATAAATTAAGAAAACTTCAATTTTTTAAAATTAATGCAACATATAATTTAAATTTGAATTTTTAAATATTCATTGAGCTCATCATTTAAGCATCCATATGAAACGCAAGGTGAGTGTGACAAACATTTGGTAAAATACTTGAAGATCATACATACACACAAAAATTTATAGTTTAACTTGGTATTGAGTAAATTAAGACCAAAAAGTTATACTTTTAGTTGAGTTGATCTTTGTCAACTTATCACCATATAGAATTAATCACACCTAATTAAGATTAACATGGTTAATTAATTAAACATTTTTGCAACACTTAGTGCTTGATGAATATGACAGATTTTGCTGGTAGGTGAGAAGTTATTTTCATTGCATTGCAACATTTTCTCAATTATAAGCCAGTTTTACAACATCCAAATTAATGAAAATTTGTTTTATTTTTCATTCCATTCATTTTTCAAATAATCATAAGCACTTTCAAAAGACAATGAAAATATTTGTTCCCTTAAAATGATGAAATGAGTATTTAGAAGCACTTTTCAATCTAATTGATTATTGTTGATCTTTTATATATAAATATGACATGATGGAGGAAAAGAAAAAAGTGCTTAATTAGTGGTTAGGATATGATAATCCAAAAATTCTATTTCTTATAGAACAAGTTTTGTAGATTACCTATTTTAAAGACAAAAAACTCCACATATTATTCCTTGAATTCAGCATAATTAGATTATGGTTGCAATCACTTTCCTCTAATCAACAAACCACTTTTTTTAATTACTTTTTTAAAACACTTTCTCTTTTTAAATCACACATTCTTTGTTTTCCTCTTTTGTTTCTACTCTCAACCAATAATACACTAAAAAAAACTTTTAAATTTTTTCCAAACTTGAATAAATATTCATTCATGTTCTTTCTATTTCTTTTGTCAAAAACAACTTCATATTTTCAACCTTAAAACCATGTTCTTTTTTCAATGTCTTTGATTTTCTTCTTCTTCATGTATTTGAATCTTGAAAATCAACCTTGAGTTGTGATTCTTTGTTTGTAGAGTTATGTGCTCCGAAACAAGTACTCCGCCACGTCTTTCTTTCTCTCATAATCTCTCTGAATTCCACCTTCAAAAAGATGTTACTTGCATTGAAACATTGTTGTTAGACTCAAATTCTGATTTTGAGTTCAACACATGTAACATTCTTGAGTTTGAAGCATCTTCAGCTGATGAACTTTTCTCTAATGGTGTGATTCTTCCAAAAAGACACACTCCTTTGATTAAATTTAATCATATAAAACTTCCTCCGCGTCCATCGGTTTCAAATGTTGACAAAACGAAGAAAGAAACGGATCATAAGTCCATCTTAGCTCAACCCAGAACAGAAACCGTTAGAGAGCTTTTAGACGCGAGTTCTAATAATGCGAAAAAATCTCATTCCAAGTCTTTTTGGGGATTTAGTAGAAGCAAAAGTTTTAATTGTGATACAAAGAAGAATTTGAGTTTTTCTTTACCTCTTTTGTATAGAAGTAACTCAACCGGTTCGGCCAAAAAAATGAGTTCAAGCAAGCAAACATCATCGACAAGAGGTAAATCATCGTCGTTGCATTCTTCTACCTTAAATTTGTATCCAATGCAAAAATCAAATTCAGGTAAGAGTTATGGAGGATCTTATGGAAATGGTCATTGGATTAGTCCTATTTTGAACGTTCCAACTCCTTGTGTTTCTAAGGGAAGTGCAAGTTTCTTTAGGTTTGGTTCAATTTTAAGTGTTGGAAAGGTTAAGAAGAGTAAGAAGTGATTATATTCATATGTTATTATCATCATATCATTACAAATAATTAATGTCATGGTTTCATCTTTGTTGCTATCATATTTTTTGTTTTGTTCTTATCATCATTCATCTTGGTTTGTTATCATGTCATAGAGTTTAATTAGCATGGCAATAGGATATGTTATGAATAATAATTTAATTAAATATTTATTGTATAAGTGTTTATTATATCGGTGATAATGTACAAGTTATTTTTGTTAGAACAAACACAAAAATAAAGTTGGTGAATTAATGGTGAAAGATGGTTAATTGGAGAAGATGAAGTTTAGAGAGAAAAATAAAGATTATTAGAGAGAGAGAGTAATTGAGGAGAAACTCATAAATTGACATTAACTAAAAAAACACATTACATGAGAGTTTATATAAGTTACACTTAAATATCCTTGGAACCAACACAGATCCAACAAAACAACAAAAATCTCAAAATATCGCGTCAGAAACCGGTTTCCTAAAACAGGAAAACTGGTTTCCCCAACAAAAAAATACACAGGAAGTCAAAAACACGTGACAGAAACCGGTTTCCTCAAACTGGGAAACCGATTTCTCCCTCGAAACACATAATCTTTGCAGCTTCCAGAAGGGCTTTTCAAATAAACTGTTTTGCACGAAACGAACTTCGAAACTTCCAGAATGCATTTGAATTATATCCAACATCCAATACACCATCTTAATTCAAATGCTCAACATCCTTCATACCTAAAATCTTCACAAGCTTCTTGAACACATCATTTGTCAGGCCTTTCGTCAACAAATCTGCAAGTTATTCTTCGCTTCGACAGTATCCTAACTTCTTCTGGCCTGCACACACCAGTTCCCTCAAGTAATGAAAACACATCTCTATATGCTTGCTCATCCCATGTGCTATGGGATTCCTTGAAAGATTAATAATTGGAATATTGTCAACCAAGAGCGTAACAACTTTTTTTTCATTGCTTCCCAACTCCCTTAGCAGATTCATAAGCCACATAGCCTGACGCACACACATAGACGCAACGATATACTCTGTCTCACAATAAGAGAGTGCAACCACATGTTCCTTTTTAGAGCACCAAAAGATTGGAGCTCCATCGATTATAAAGATATAACTAGCTGTAGACTTTCGATCATCTTTATCTCCGCACCAATTGGAATTCGTATAACCGAGTAACTCGCAATTTCTGCCCGTATCAGCTATGGGAAAGAGAATTCTACAACCAAGAGTTCCTTTGATGTATCTTAGGATCCTCTTAACTATTTCCAAATGAGAAACCTTTGGTTTCTCCATGAATCTACTTGCAATATCGACACTAAATACCAAATCTGGCCGCGTATTGCACAAGTAACGCAATGATCCAATCAACCTCCTATATTGATTTGGATCCACACCTTGCTCATCTTCAATTTTGTACAGCTGCAACCTTGCTTCAACTGATGTTATGGCAGCATTACAATGCTCTTTTTTGTTAGCACAACAATCGGGGGAGGATCGAGCTAGGAGCATTCTTATTTTTGGGACTTTCCATTTGAGCAATACACCTTTGTGGGAGATATACCACTTATCCATCTAAAACCTTAAGGTGATAGATGAATGGATTCTCCCACTTATAAATGCTCAAGTCACTACATTCTTATCCAACATGAGACTATTTCCCCACACTCACACTTACTATATTCTCAACATATATCACACTTTTTCAAAATCTCAAGAGCATACTTTCTTTGATGCATAATCAGTCTCAATTTTGACTTATGGAACTCTATTCCAAGAAAGTAAGTCATGATTCCAAGATCGCTCCTTTCAAACTCTTCCATAAGCTCACTCTTGAACTTAGAAATATTCACTTCATTGCTACCCGTAATTAATAAGTTGTCCATATATAAGCAAAGTATAATCACTTTTTTGCTTGCATCCGTCTTCACATAAACACCATGTTCAGATACACACTTCTTGAAGCCAACCTCAACTAGAAATGCATCTATGAGTTTGTTTCAAGCTCCAGGTGCTTGTTTAAAACCATATAGTGTCTTCTTCAATTTGTAGACTCTTCCCTCTTTATTTTTCACCACAAAACCAAGGGCTGCTCTACATAGACTTCCTCCTCAAGTGGACCATTCAAAATGCAAATTTTACATCCATTTGATACATTGATCAATTATTGCTATTCGCAATGCCAACAATCAGCCGTATAGTTTCCAATCTAGCCACAGGTGCAAACACCTCATTATAGTCTATACTTTCTCTTTGCAAAAATCCTTTTGCTACTAGTCGAGCCTTATGTTTGACAATTTCTCCGTTCAGATTTACCTTCACTTTATAGACCCATTTCACTCCTATTGGATTTTTTAGTTTCGGTAAATCGACCAGCTCCCAAGTACTATTTTTCTCAATCGATTCCAGCTCCTCTTTCATCGCACACACCCACTTTGAATTGCTTAATGCCTCCTCCGTGCTCACGGGATCGAATTCGGCCATAAGCGCAAAGTGAATAAGATCACCATCATTGTTGATCTCATTATCATGGAATACTTCACAATCTCGGAGCCTTTGAGGTAGACCTCTGTGCCTTGTTGGATGTCTACTAGATTCACCATTTTCGACTTTGACTGGCTGCTGAATTGTTTCTGCAGAATGCTGATTTTCTGCATTTTCCTGTGGAAACCAGTTTCCAAAAATAGGGAAACCGATTTCTGCTTCCAAAAGTTCAATTCCAGCAGCTTCAGTATGCATAAATCGCGAAGGAAACCACTTTCCTTTTGTTGGGAAACCGGTTTCTACGGCTGTCATATGAATTTTTATGCTATCAAATAACCTCAACTCATCCACGACCACATCTCGACTAATCACGATCTTCTTGCTACTCACATCAATTAACTTGTAGCTGGATGATAACCAACTAGCAACATTATCTCTTCTTTTCCATCCAACTTCTTTCTAAGCTAACCCGAAATATGTCAAAATGCTATCGAACCAAAAACCTTGAAATGACTCAAACTTAGTTTATGACCAGACCATACCTCTTCTGGTGTCACTTTATCCAGCTTCTTAGTAGGGCACCTATTCAACAAATAGGCGACTGTAAATACAACTTCATCGCATAGTTTCTTCGACAAGATTTTTCCCTTCAACATGCTATGAACCATATCCATTATCAAATGATTTCTTCTCTCGGAAACGCCATTTTGTTGAGGCATATAAGGTGGTACAACCTCACACACTATACCCTCATCATCACATAATTCCCAAACTCACTCAAGGTATACTCGCCTCCACCATCGGTTTTGTGAATTTTCAACTTGTGACCACTTTTCCGCTCCGCCATAGATTTAAAATGTTTGAACACACCAAACACCTCATCTTTCCTGTTGATTAGATAAATCCATAACTTTCTACTAAAATCGTCAATAAAAGTGACAAAGTACCTATTTCCACCATACGAGTCGACTTGCATTGGACTACAAACATCGGAGTACACCATCTCAAGATGAAGTTTGGTCCTATGACATACATCCTTGCTGAAACTATTCTTGTGTTGCTTCCCTTGAACACACTCTTCACAAATCTCAGCTGGAATATTGGTCTTGGGCAGCCCGATCACCATACCATTCCTTTGTAACACGTCGAGGTCTCAAAAATTGAGATGTCCAAGATGGTAATGCCACAACCACTCATCACGACTTGCCGCTGTAGAAAGACACTTGTGTTCCATCACTTTCAACTCTATCTTGAAAGTACGATTTGTAGTCATGGGTGCTCTAAGAATTAAGTCTCTGTTTCGGTCTAAAACACACAAAATCTTATTTTCCATGCGAATTATGTAATTCTTCTCAAGCAATTGGCCAATACTCAAGAGATTACATTTAACTCCAGAAATTTATAACACATCTTTGATCAAAGAGTGACTTCCATCCTTATTCATGATCAAAACATCACCCACACCTTCGACCGCTAAAGTTGTGTCATCCGTGAATCTTACTTTGTTCTTCGTAGCTTGGTTTATTTTGGCAAACCAATCCTTTCTACTTGTCATATACGTTGAACAACCAGAATCAAAGTACCACTCATCACTGCCTTGGACTCCATCTCGAATGGTTACCATTGTGTTTCTATCAGAACGCATTTCTGTAGAATTTTCTACACTGTAAACACTGTTGTCCAGCTTCTGACAGCTGCTACTGCTGCTGTCCAGCAACTTTTTCATGCCATAATTCTCCTCCGTGATCATGACTAGAAAGCATGCTATCATCATCCACCTTTTGTCTAGCTACCTTAGCTTCATCATGAAGGTGTGAAGAAAACACAAGAAAAGGGGGATGGGGTGAATTGGGTTTTCCTTTACTGTAAAACTTTCTCTTCTAAGAATTATTCATTGAATAATGCTTATGATTATTGCTTCTAATTAATGCTTCTAATTTGGTTCAGAAAACACAAACTCTAAAGCATAAGAAAAAGTAGCCATCACGTGATATATCCTGGTTCACTTGAGAAACCCCAAGCTAATCCAGTCCACCCTTCCGAGGTGATTTCGCCTTGAACTCAAGGACTTAATCCATTATAATCAATCTGATCACAATCGCATGGGAAACTGCTAGTGACTAACATCCAATGAAACACTCAAGGATCCAAACTGGATATAACATTCATTGACCCAACAAAATCTGATTCTCCAGAATCTCCTTTCATGATTTCCTTCCAATGATATCCATCAGTGATCTCAGAAGATTAACCTTCACTCAGTATCCTTTAAGATATGACTACCATTGACCCAATAGAATCCACTACAAGGATTTCATCTACGATGGCCGCAACCAAAGTCTTCTTGAGAATTCTGACTCAACCAAGTCTCTTAAGGAACCATCAAACAACTGTTTGATTTACATTTGTTTACAATAATAATTCTTTTACACAAGTTGGATGTAAAAAGAATTAAGTACATCAGAAGAACCTAATACACACAAAAAGATATTACATTTTATTGTAGCTTCAATGT